ATTAATATTATATACGTATAAGTGAGAGAGAAAAAACAGAAAGATAAGAAAATGATTTTGATTAATTATTATAAGTAATAAATTATTACTAATGGGCTAAATTATAATTATCATTAATTGATTAATTGTTTGTATATTTTCATAAACTACGTGTGGTAAATTAATATTAACATTTGAAGTATATTTGATATTGATATAATATAATATAAGTGAGAGGGAAAAAAAGAAAGACAAAAAATGATTTTGATTAATTATTATAAGTAATAAATTATTACTAATGGGCTAAATTATATTTAACATTAATTAATTAATTGTTTATATATTTTTATCAGTTACGTGTAATGAATTAATATTGACGTTTGAAATATATTTGATATTGATATAATATATATAAGTGAAAGATAAAACTAATAGTTTTGATTCGTTATCATTTCGATGAGTAATTAATTAATATGCAAAAATATGCGTTAATGCAATTCTGATACAATCATCATTTTATATTTCCAAACAACAAAACAACTAAAAAAAGAAAACTGAATGATTCTTTATGAGAATTTTGATAATATTTAAATCTTTGCATTCTAATAAATTATATTATATACTATATATGTATAGTATATATTTATTTTTAATTATTTTCATTTCGAAAAATATTGAATATTTTTTTTCTTTTACTATATCTCTATATACAATTATATACTATTCTTTTTTTAATTATGATAATATACTATTCTTTTTTATAATTAAATTCTTTTATAAATTATTTCTCACTTCGAAGACTATTAAATTCTCTGTTTCTTTTCTATATCATCTACATAATTATATACTATTATTTTAATTATTTCTTCGAATAGTATTAAATGTTCTATTTCTTTTCCATTCTCTATATAATTATCTGTTTCTTTACCATTCTCTATATAATTATGTTGTTAATTATTTCTCACTTCGAAGACTATTAAATTCTTTGTTTCTTTTCTATATCTTCTACATAATTATATACTATTATTTTAATTATTTCTTCGAATAGTATTAAATGTTCTATTTCTTTTCCATTCTCTATATAATTATATGCTATTCCGTTGTTAATTATTTCTCACCTTCGAAGAGTATTAAATTTTTTTGTTTCTTTTCTATATTTCTATATAATTATATACTATTTTCAATTATTTCTCATCTCGATTAGCATTAAATGTTCTATTTCTTTTCTATATTTCTATATAATTATATACTATTCTTTTTTTTATTAATTATTTCTCATCTCGAATAGCATTAAATGTTCTATTTCTATATTCTATATATAATTATATACCATTCAATTTATCTATTGTATTTCGCTTCTATTAAAAATAACGAGAGAGGGAGAGAGAGAGAGGGAGAGGGAGAAAGAAAAAGAGAGAAGATAAAAAAACACACAGAAAGCAAAGAGTGAATAGAAAACTGTCATTCTTTTTTAAATTTAATTTAATTTTTTTGCAAACTAAGAGTGAAAGAGAGAGAGAGAGAGAAAAGAACAAAAGAAAAGAATTATAATTAATTTTCATTTATTCCTTTTTGATATAATAATATTAATCGATAATTATTATTCCAATGATTTCTCTAAATTTAATGTACATATCTGTATGTGTGTGTATATGTATATGTATATCAATGCATATATATATATGTGTGTGTGTCTGTGTGTGTATGTGTATGTGTAATGTATATCAATTTCTCCAAATTTAATATACACATAAATGCAATGTATGTATGTATGTATGTATGTATGTGTGTAATATATGTGTGTATGTGTGTACATATGTGTGTGTATGTGTGTGTGTGTATCTCTAAATTTAATATACATATATGTATGCAATGTATGTATGTATGTGTGTGCAATGTATGTGTGTATGTGTGCATATATGTATGTGTGTGCAATGTATGTGTGTATGTGTGCATATATGTATGTGCGTGTGTGTATGCGTAATGCACATCAATTTCTGTAAATTTAATATGCATCTATGTATGCAATATATGTATGTATGTGCATGCAATATATGTATGTATGTGCGTAATATATGTGTGTATGTGTGTATATGTGTATGTGTGTAATATATGTATGTGTGTGTATATGTGCATATGTGTAATATATGTGTGTATGTGTGTATATGTGTATGTGTGTAATATATGTATGTGTGTGTATATGTGCATGTGTGTAATATATGTGTGTATGTGTGTATGTGTGCGTATATGTATTTGTGTATGTGTAATAAATGAACAACACTTTTTTTTTCATTCCATCTTCTCTTTTTTTCCTCACTCTCTTCATTCATCTCTCATACTCTATCTTCCATTCTTCTTTTTGTTTATCACAATTTATTTCTTTCATTCTGTAAATTCTCTTCATTCATCTGTAGTATTTCATATAGTGTGTAATAGAGAAACGAAATTTTGATGATTTGTTGAAATGATATAAATTTATGACCAAACTATAACAGAAATTATTCACTTTTAATATAAATACCATTCCACATAAGCAATTTATCGAAATTTATATTATTATTATAATTAAATAATTGTTAATATTAATGTTATTATTATTACTATTATTATTATTTTTATTGTCATCATTATTATTATTATTATTAAGTAATAATCATAATTTTCTTTTTATTTTACTCATTTCGTTTTTTTCTTTTTAATGACTTTTTTCAAATTATTTATATTATTATAATTAAATGATTATTAATATTATTATTATTTTTATTGCCATTATCATTATTATTATTATTATTATTATTACTAAATAATAACCATGATTTTCTTTATATTTACTCACTTCGTTTTTTCTTTTCAATGACTTTTTTCAAATTAATAATATTATTATTATAATTAAATGGTTATTAATATTAATATTATTATCACTATTATTATTTTTATTGCCATTATTATTATTATTATTATTATTAAATAATCATCATTTTATTTATATCTTTTTAATGACCACTTCCAAATTTTTACATTTAAAATTAAATTTCGATACTAAATATTTCATTCATTTCACATTTCATGTTATTAGCAAGAAAACAATCAATCGTCTAATTCACATTTATATATATATATAGTATGGATATAAATTATCATCATTTCCTAATTTCATCCTTCCATTTTTATCATCTTTGATTGCTTTCAAATTTTATATATGAAATTAAATTCAAAACTGAATTTTAGGAAAGTTAAATTTAAATTAAAACGATTTTATGCATAAAATTGAACTCAAAATTTTTTTAAAAACAATTAAATTCAAATTGAAATAATTTTATGAAATTAAATTTAAAATAATTTTATAATTTTATACTGAAATAACTAATATAATGTCCATTTCAATATTTCTTCACCAACAATCAATCATTCATATCATTTCATTTATTATTCTTCAATTTTCAATCATTACTGCACTTGTTGTTTTCAATCCTATCATTTGAAAAAAGCATCAATTAAATGGTAAGTTTATTTTTTCCTTTTCTTGAACGAAAACGGAAATAACAAATGTTCGGCTACGTTGCTAAACCGTAAATGCTCCTAATGTTTTCAATAATAACCTATGAGTATTTCCGGTTTCGCATCCTGGCAAGAACGAATCAATGATATATACCACAATTAAGTTGTTTATTAAAAATTTCGAATAGCATTACCTGTAATTTATTGTAAATTTTTATTTATTTTTATCTTATGCTTAATGTATTTAATATGTGATATTAATTAATTCCTCGTATATAATTGATAATTAATAAAGCTACTTCAATCAGGAACACCTACTCCTCTCACCTTATTATAGATTTATTCGACTAGTATTTTGCAAAATACCAGAATTGAATCAAATCAAATCTTCATCATCACACTCCCTATCATCACAATCAACAGAAGACGACAATGTGATTTCTTATTTAGAGATATTTTCACACATATTCCTCATTTCGATTTCTTTTCTGTTTTTATTTGAATTGCAAAAATATTTCAAATAATTGAGTTATACCGATATTGCAAAAATAAATTCAATTCATATAAAAGAATTTATTGATATCAATAAGCAAAAATTTGATAAATAGATGAAGAAATGAAACAGTACATCAACACTGCCTAAGAAGACCCGTTCATAAGGAATAAAAATTCATCAAAATGAATAAAATATAAAAGAAAATTTGAATTTGAAGCATAATTAATGAATAGAAACAAAACTTTGAATATTTTGCAAAATCTTCTTCATATTAATATAAGAATTTTCTAAAATACAAGCTTATTAATTACGGCCAAATAATTAATGTCAAAAATGACTCACAAATCTTATTGATCATTAGTAAATGGTCTGGCTTGAGCGGTAAAATATTAAAATCTTTTTGAAATTAATTAGTCATTTCGAGCATCATCTAAATTAACCATCTATACCTCAATTATTGGAAAAAAAACGCCTTCACAATCCAATAATCAAAATCTTTCCTGATGTTAGTTACTACTGATGCATTGCGATAAAAAAGTATCAACTTTTTCTTTTGCCGTTATAATAATTACGATAGTTAAACCGTTTAACTGACTACCACAAGCCTAAAAGTTACAAATGATCAAAACAAGAAAATAGAGCTTAACAAAACAGAAGTCAATAAAGAAAGGCACTGAAACGTATTTCTTCTAATGTTTACATTTCAGACTATCAATTTATTTAGCAATGTAGTCAGAAATATCATTATATTAATATCTTTAAAATAATATGCGATATGGAAGATGAGATTATGACAGATTTGGTAGCGTGTGTAACAATACTTTTGCATCATTGCTTTAAAAATACTGCGTAATGCGCTTAGATAACCGCGTTATCAAATAAGTAACTCATTAAAAGTAGAATCAAAAATTTTCACACAAAAAGTATCATTCATTTGATGACCTCAGAGAACTATATAGATGTTAATACTTCATAAATTATATAAGCAGAAAAATGAATACTCTGAATGGCACATGAAGATCGATATTTATTCATCACAGCTCAATGAGCTGAGAATTTCATCATATCGTTGATTCCTTTGTTCTATGCCCTTGAATGTATGATCCAGCTCTTTGGTAAAATCTTCCAGTCGTTTCTCCAGGTGCTTCAAATTTTTGCACTGGAATTAAATGTCAAAATTGATATAAAGCCAAAAAATGAAATAAAAATTTATCAAATGACAAAGTCAAAGTTAATCGATACAGAAATTTTTCTTTCCAAGAAGTCCATTTGCAGTTTCGGATTTCGAAATAAATCAACATAATATTAGAAAAAAATATATAATTTCAAAAAGCCTATCGTGCTTTTTCTAAGAATTTTTTTATAAAATTATGCATTCGACTAATCTCAAATCAACGAAGGCCAGAAATTTAATTAATAATTGGGTATATCAAACTGGATGTGGATATCAAATGATGAAGAGCACTTGGAAATCACATCCGCTTATGCTAAAAACAATAAATATCACGCAGGCATGCATATCTTGATATACTCCAAATGTTAGAGTATAAAATTACTTCATATTGAAACTCACTTCTCTTTTTCTTGAATTTTGTTCACTGAATTCATTAGTTTTCTTATTATTTTGTTGTTGACCAAAACTGCATGTTAGGCTATTTAAACTTCCACTATACCCATGACAATTATTATTATTCGTCGATCTCCTTGAACAATCGATACGTTGAATATTTCGCTCCGCTATCTCTACTCCTAAGAAAAGAAAAATTAATATACACAACCGAAGAAATTTATACGAAAAACATCTATCAGTCTGATAAATCGTGATTTTTAAGAAATGAAGAGAAAATAGAAAGAACTGAAAGAAGGAAACAGAGAAGGGAAAGTAAACAACAGTTTTTTACTCCAAATTTCATAAAAACTTCAATGTAGCAGTGAAATAAAAGAAAAAAAGATATGATCAATAATAACATCTTAACACTTTTTCAAAATTTACTAATATTGAAATATTTTTCCAAAATTCAACCTTTCTCAAGTGTTTTTTCATCGAAATAGTCCAATAATATTGAAGATCGTTGAGTTAGTGATTCATACCAAGATAATTGTCGTTCACCTTCCAAGTCTAAAATTTAAATTATAAACATGAATTAGGTATTGAAATAAAATTTCGAGAGTATACTACTTTTTCCTTTACATAACCTAAACATCGCAATCATCATTATAATGGAAAGCTTAATGAGGTATTCTAGGATCTTTCGTAACCATTAATACACATGAAATTAATAAAAATAGATATCAACTGAAGTTAGGCATGAAGTAATTTGTGAAAGTCTGAAATGCCTCTTCATCGATCAAATGCCATTTTCGCGCTATTACTGCTTGTCATTATTAATTACTGTTATTTCTATTATTCTTTTTATTATCTACTATTATAATAATCACTTATTATTAATTGATTGTTTTAATATTGAAAATGTATTCATCATGATTCAGTGAATAAATCTCGAGTTTCTAGAAAATCTCCTCTGTAGAATCGTTATGAATAGAATGTAATTCCTTCCTTATTTAAACTAATAAAAAATATCTCAGCCAATCAATTAAACCAACTAGCTTAATATTTTTGCACTTCGTAAAACAAATAAATGTATTTATGAAACAAAAACCATTATGAATTTGACTGGTTGTCCAAAATGGTTTCAATCGTCCACATTCAACATCAGCAAGTGCTACTGCTAAACGAATCTCATCTTCCTGTTCTTTTGAGATAATATCATTATTGTTATTGTGCAGCCTTTTCCGTTTCAACGGTAAAGATGTATACGTAGTCTGAAAAGCAAATAAAAATTTTCAAAATGTTCCAAAACTTAAGAATTTATATACCAAAGGAATCATTTTCTTTATCAAAAAAACTCGATTTTGTTTAAACACATGACAAGAATTACTATACAGCAGTGCAATCTTTATACAGAACTACACAGCTTTATAATACTTCAAATGTTAAACTTGTTCCTGCAAACTTGAAACTTACAGTGAAAAACTCTCTTCTTTCTATTTGGAACTGAGTCCATGAACGCCACTTTGCCAGTACTTTTCGTGCTATTCTTCTATACCTTTTTTCAGTTAAAGCGTTTATTTTCTGTTCAGAAAGCAGCTGAAATGAATGAATCCATTTAAAAAGCAAAGTATTCATCGACTTCTCTGATGCATAATTTCTTGTCTGTTACTACAGCTGTTAAGACGCCAGTGAAAAAGCTTTCCAGTATGCTAATCATACACATGCACAAAAATTTTCAACCACTGAAAGAAATAAACGAATGAAAAAATTCTTACGAAACTGCAATCGATAAATGTTTTATCCAATGGATGACCATCTCGTCGACGAAAACTTAATCCAGATTTAGCTGAAATATGCTGGATTAATACAAACAATCATTAAATATAACTAGAAAATTTATTAGTGCAACACAGTCCTTTAACATAACTTACAAATTTTTTACGCTCTAAAAAATCAAATCCACACCAACGTTTTCGAAATGTACCTGGTAATATGATAGGGAATGATCCTAATAATTCCAGCTTCTTTCGCTCTTGTTCTTTTTTATAAGCTACCTGTCCACGCCAATGATCTACGAATTGTTTCAGCCATAACCTAAAATTAGTTCAAACTACAAAACCTCAAAAATGTCAAATCGAGATTTACACATGAGTACATCTATAAGCTTCATAGGTGAGTGATCCAATACCGGTACTTCAGTCCTACTATGCAGATGACTTTATCTTCAATGAAACTTACTTATTCAGCCGATCATTTATATCCTTCAAACGTTTTTTCACGTAATTTACACTTTCTTCTATCTCACTTTCTCCTATTTTCTTGACCGTTTCGGATACCACCTCTATTACCAAATCATGCAGGAAGCTTTTTCCAATATTCTCTATAAGTGCTTCGTCCTGTATCCGCTGGTACTTTCTGAAAAACACATTAGCGATAAGACGGAGGGATCTATAAAACCATTCGAAAAGTTAAAAAAAAAAATGAAAATTTAAAATTTCAGAAAATCTATAATTAAATATATTGTTTGAAGTTTAACAAAATTTTCATAAAACCATCACAAAACTGAAAATCTGAAGTGAACTCCTTTTGATGAAAATTCTCAGTTCAGCAACCGATCAGGTAAAATTCTTTAAGTACCACTCTGTTTCAAAGAAAGAATTGGATTTGTAACAGAGTATATGATGATAACTTTAAATGAAACATACATTATCCATTTTTTACTGATATCGCGAATAAATTTGTCAATAACTTCACGAAAGACTAATTCGTTTAGGGAATCAAGCAAGGATCGAATTTCATCCTCTCTTTTCTTAGCTACATTAGCGGCTAGCTTACGTCGGTGTAACAGTTTTGCGGCGATCATTACCTCCTGACAACGTGGCCTAAAAACTCTCAAAGTTAGTGGATTCTATTTTGAACATAACATTAAATTTAATTTGATATACTCATAGACCACTTCCTGAAATATCGACACAGTAAAAGCTAAACTAACTTCAAACAATCCTCCAAGATACTATCATACAGTGCAGTGGTGAGCGAATGAGCTAGTGATTTCCTATATGTTAGATTGCATAACCTCATAATTTCTCCTTCGATGATCTCATCTGCTAACTTCTCAACCAACACAGTAACCTGAAAATGGTGATTTTAAGAACATGTGGTAGAGTTCATGTATTCATCAAACTGTAGTATCAGTAGAGTGCAGTATCAGTAGAGTTCATCAAACTAAATGACTGTACATTACAACGTATCTTCCGCCGTAGTACTCGCTAGAGTTTATTTTATATGAATTTAATAGAAGTATATGATGTCAATTGGCAAAATATATTAGTTAGAATACGGTGGTTAATACTTATAAAATGTAAAAACTAAAAAAAATTACATAGATTGAACGAAGTAATTAAAACGTTACATTATTTTCCTTTTGTGATGTTGGCAAAGTAAATGCAAAAGTTACAGGCTCATCCTCATCGGTAACTAATCTGTAAATGTGTTTATATAGTAATCCTGAAGACAGAGGACTTCAGTATTATCACAATGAAGAAAAAGTTACAGCAACTTTCTGCATTATGGCAAAGTCACAAAATGTCTTAAAACAGTTTCCCCCTATATTATGCTGTTAAACAAATATTCTAAAGATTTTATTGCTCTCGTAACATATTCCACAAATATTCTGAAGATTTTATTTAGCTTTCGTAATAAAAAAAATTTTATAGGCTCTCATAATATATTTAAGAAAATTGATCTTTGTAAATTTTGGAAGCCATAGCTTAAGCAAAAAACCTATTTATTCGGCTAATTTAACAAAAAATTAAAAGACTTACTGCTCTCCTCCATTTTCGCTGATATAGTTATCGAGAACAATATCAAATACGTATGCGCCATTTTTGTCAAACGAATTTAATGGAGTGATAACTTCAACTTCAACATCTTGACAACCGCTTAACACCTATTAAGTAAGGTTGTTTTACGCAATTCAGAACGATATTCATTAAAAAAAACAGAACGAAGAAATTTACATACTTCTGGAATTGAATATCCATCACGTTTCGCCTCAATCCACAAATGAATCTTTGTTGGAGGTTCTTCAATTGGATCAATTAGTCGAGTCTTTGATATATGCATCAGTTCTTCACCGGTATCCATATCATTATTGCTACGAACATTATAGCAACCCAAAAATTGCAACGATGCGTCACGATCGTCAAATCCTAATAGCTGGACGAATTTATTCAGCGGATACTGTAAAAATCGAGAAAAATTAATAAATACTGAAACAATTTTTTTCATAAATTCTTCCACCCAAAAATATCTGACAAATTTTAATAATTAAAAGCAATGATAACAAACAAACCTTTCCCATTATGTGAACTGAGCGTGATATAGTATACATTGCCTGATGACGCATACGATTGAAAAATCGGTGACAAAGGCAACACTATAACAAACAATGCTTTATCGACACATATCCATTTATATCTTCGATAAATAAGTTGTTATTACTATTGTTTAAAAGTAAAACCTGTAAATAAGTGGCGTCGTTCTTCAACAATCGGAAAAAGCGAACATAATTTTGATTTTGTAAACAGGTAAATAGACGAATCGCTAATCGGACAGAACTTGATTCCAGAATTTCTCTCCGATATGTCAATGCTTGCCTGAATTATTTAAATTTTGAAACTTACAATCCTATAAAAAACGAATAAAAAATTGATCGGGAAATAAACGAAAGCTCTGGTACATAGTCTCATTATTTGTCTTCTAGAAATATCGAAACTTCGTGCCGGAAGTAGTCTTGCGTTGATTTTCAAAATGCAGCATACTATGCAAATTATCAAATCATTCTTTTCAATTTGCCCATTGATTTGGGCATCAGTAAATTGGGTTAGAATGCCAATAAACTGCATCTGTCCTTTTCTCAATTAAAGTGATCAAAACTAGGTAAAAAAAATGCTCGCCTTATTTTGATAATGCCCGATTACGTAAAGAGAAAATGAAAAGGAGTCTAGTAAAAAAATCGGACCACTACGAATAGAAATACACGGAAAACTGTTAGCGGAAACAAATCCTCTCCCAGCATTTCTTATTACGTAAAGAATTAGAACCTATAAAATAAGTGCAAATTAATTATTGAAATTAAACGCTTAGAATTTACCGGAATACATTGGAATCCGAAAGATTAAGCATAATTTCGTAAGCTCGAAATTCTGCTTCACTGGTATAAAAGATTCCTTTCTTAGCCAAATCGTCATACAAATAACGTAAGCTTTGCAGGCTCTTAGATAAATTTTCTGTAAATGGAAAATTTAGCTTTCGACGATAAATTTTCATATAATTTATTACGAACATTTTGAACTCTGGATAACAACATCCAAATTTTCTATTAGTTTTCATAGCCTATAAAAACAGAATTGTAGACATATAAATGAAAGAATGTCTCATGGGTTAATAAATCAATAAAAGAATAATAAAAAAGCACCTGTATTCATTTTTTGATCGAATTCATTGAAATTCAATTCACAAAGGCGATGGGATGCAAAGATATGCAGTCTGACACACTGTTCGATTAAGATAACAGCAGTTTCGTTAACCATCATTTGCTGTGTTATGTCCTGTTAAATCCTTATTAAATACTTCTTTTATTTTCAGAATGGATACTAATTAAAGAATTTTTAGATTAGCACACATTACAGAGTTTTTGAAAACACCAATTTTACATTGTTTAGCTGTCAAAATTTCCAGCTTTTCTCTCTTAAGGTTGAAAATGTCTAATAATTTTTGCATGTTAGTTCAAGAACAAGTAGAGATTCATATCATATCAAATGGCATAAAAAAACTATAAGAAATGATGTTTCAAATTGAAAAAACGAATGAAAACCTTTCGGATAGCCCGCGTTCGATTCCACATAAAATCATACCACTGTGCCAATTCTTCATCTGTTTCTGGAACATGATTAGCAATCTGAAATTATCACACATATAAGTGCGTATTTAATTGACAATTTTAAATTTGTAATTTATTCGACAAATAGATACTTACTTTCCCGATAAGATAATTCATCGTTCGCTGAAGGACATCTGCGGGTCTAAGCTCGTGAGGTAGTGGCTCCTCCTGCAAAACAGTTATGTTTATTCAATTATCTGATTCCGGTTGTTTTGTTATGCTGTTCAGCTCAAGAAAATTATGCTTCGGAAGACTACACAATCTCGTCATTTCTAAAGTTCCTTCCCAGCATCTTTTCAATATATTTCCTACAATATTTAAAAATTTAACGAATGCATTCTTACTTGATCAGCTGCACTTCTACTATATTCTTTCACGGCCAGTTCCGGCGCAATACTACCATCATCATGACATTCATACATACTAAGACGTTTTTGAACAACTCTCATATAGCGTTCTTTTTCGGGACACATATCGCGGCAAGAACCCTAAATAACTCATTTCTTTAACATTCAACTTCACATCAATTCAAGAAGGGTATTGAGGGCAAAAGAATTATCGCAGATATAAGCATCTGCAAACTCATACCCAACAAAAAAACGAATTCACTTTTGTCTTCCAATAAATTTTATTTATGTCTTGAGTATTACTAATGCTAGTACTACGAGAGAAAATTTTATTCCCAAATATCTTGCAAATTCCATTTTTCTCTTTAAATAGAGCATTTTTTCTAATTATACAAAGTTTTTGCGGCTTTATAATCACCTTTTAAGTAATGGAGATAACTAACATGTAATCTTTAATTCTCCTTTCTTTAGACAATTTTAAAAACTTTCGAGTTATCTATCTACCTGCATAACAGTTGCATTGTCAACATCGGTACTTTTCAAACGTCTTTTATGCATCAAACGATCACGTTCATCTAGCAACTGATATTTATCAAAGTCAGTTTCACAAACTCGTCCAATCATACGCTTTAGCTGCCGTGCTGAACAAGTTTAAATTTCAACTATTTAAAAAATTAAGAAAATATGCAATTACACAAGGATTAACAATTTTTATTTTTTATATATATTTATATTTATATATACATTTATATATATTATAGAAATGATCTTTTTAAACATTCTTAATAAACATTATTGTAAAAAATTTACCAATTGCACTCTTAGGCAGCAGCACTTTTTCAGTGACCGATTCTAGCTTTGAATTTTCAATATGCCGTTCCTTTGGCGTATTTTCTTCCTTGACAGTTGATTCACGCACCCAGGACTTTGATGGTTCGACCTGGCAAATGCAACAGTTATATTAGGCCTCTGAGAAATACTTGTCACACCAAGTATGTAATCCAGATTTACTTCAAAAATTTTTTTCCACAAAGCAAAAAGAAAAAAGACAGAAATACATACTGCTCGCATTATGCCGCTGAATCTGTTATCGACACCACTATGTAAGGTACCACGAAGTGATGCCTTTAAACGTTTCCCAAACTGTACATTTCCAAAATGTGATGGTTTTGTGCTTGTTGAAGGCAAATCTTGTGAAATATTTAGAGCATGTTGCGTTGATGAATTTCTTTTTCGGACAACACGTGCGGCTCGTGCCACAGAATGTCGACCGCTTGCAACCCTTACATCCACTGAACGCTTGAATTGTGAAGATGATGATGAAGACAGATCTAGAAATAGAGCATATCATCAAAGAGTAAATTAATACAAAAAAAGTGGTAAAACCATTAAAAATTAATAAAGGGCCGGCTCTATTATCTAAGTTATCGAACTAATCATACAAATACCACACTAAATCTTTTTAGAGGGCATGTCAATGGCTCACATCATAGAAATATTACTGAAACGATGAGAAGTTTGGTAACACGCAGAAGGCAAAAATGAAAGAAAAAAAGACTGCCATTTGAATAGAATTAACGATTACCAAGTGGATCATCCAGATCGTTGTATCCTTTACGTCTTGGTGGAGTATAGGGTTTCCGCGTTGGAGCGACTAATTTCGATGAATTTGATGCCTTTTTTGGCCGCAAACTAGAATATATGAAAACTAGATACACATAGTAAAATTTGACACAAACAATTTATTAAAAAAACTTTAATCAAAAATAAAAATACAATCGTTAATCGGAGACGGAAAACAATTTAAAAATTCATCACCAGATATGAATAAATTGAACACTAAGTAAAAACGAAATTTGAAAACTTTTTTCACTTCCCAAATCACAAGTGAATTAAATCTCACGACAGCAAAAGGACTAACTTGCTTTGCAACTGTTATTAAAATATACATTTTAATTTATGCTGTTTAGTTTTCTATTTTTTAATACAATTAATAAGTCTGACCTTTCCGGAATTACAAAAGGAAATGATCCAGAAGACATTTTCTTTTGACTTTCACCAAGGAATATTCCGTTTACTTTTTCTATCCAGAATTCACGTTCTTTCTGGCATATATCATATTGAATCGTTGTAATTTATAAGAACTACAAATTTGATTATTTCCCTGAAAACAATGCACATTGGAATATTCTTAGAAATGAACAGGTCAGATATGATTATACTTTATCAAATTCGATATAAATATTACAATTTGCAGTATTCTATTTGTGACACATTTCACAAAATGAAATAAATATTATTTGTTTCATCTCTTCAATGAAAATATTGAAAGGATAAAGCACTTTCCCTATCACTATCATATCTGATAAAGAGAACGCCAAGTATCTATAACGGAAAATCTCAAGTGTCCATAATGGAAAAATAGTATCAAGCGCATTCAGAACAAAAGAATATCAACAATCCCAAACCACAATACAACCCGAAAACAACGCTATTTCCTCGATCCATTATTGTTGATCATGCAACGAATGATTGCAAAATGTTGGGATGTTAAATTTGCACGTTTTTTTCTCTCCTTTACTACGAACTACGACATTATCGTGATTCGATGTTATTACACTGCATAACTAAATCGCAAACAATATGATCCAAATCTTAAACAACTTATTATAACTTCTGCTAATAAATCTAGCTTAATAAAATTATTTTTGCTAATAAGCAGGAAAACCAATTAATCATTTTTATTGATAGCATCAATAAATAAAAATGATTTATTAATCATATAATATTATAAAGTAAAATTTATCATTATTAGTTGCTCACACTGACAAATTGTTATCACAGCTTGCACATATTATTTCAATAGATCTCATATCATCATTACAGCTGAATGCATAAACTGAATATTAGTAGCGCATGACTTTTCCAGCCTATATCATTGTTTTTTGTACAACAAATTCGGAACAGTCCGGTATTTTTTTTTCTCATTTTCATATTAATTATTTTTAATCAATTTGACTTTGTTAGAAATTTGGAAAATTTTCCGCAAAACGAGAGAAAATTAAAATTGTTAATTGTTTTATTTTAATTTAAAAAAAAAAATGGATATTAGGATAAATTTAGATATAGCATTACTAGTTAAGAAAATAATATAATATAATCTGAAATTATAATATCAGTGAAGATGATATAGTATAATCAAATAATATAGCATAATCCGAAAATATATAATATAGTATAATATAATATAAAATAATATAGTATAATAATATAATATAGTATAATCTGAAATTATAATATCATCAGTGAAGATTATTAAAGATGATAAAATAATTGAGGAAGCTAATTTTTATTATCAATATCGTGAACTTATTTATATTATTAGGATTGAAATATATTTCAACAATTCATTAGGCATTTAAAAATGCTTCAAATATTTTTAGATGTATTTGATAATAGTAGCAATATGGTTTACTACTTCAATGACATTATGCTCGAGTTTTACGCAATATATTATGTCTGGTGGTCAAACGTATGGTTTTATAACGGAACTTTTTTTTGATGTTTTCACCTCGAAAGAAATGAATTGTTTCTATGAAGATTTCCTGCTATATAGTGATATAAGTATTTCTACTCGAGTAAGTATCGAATTGGAACAATAGTGTTAGAATATCATATGATAATACTGTACAAAACTACGATACGGTAATACAGTACAAAATACGATAATATGGATAATACGGTAATATGGTAAAAACACTAATAATATGTAAAATATTAGGTTAGAAAGTAAAATACGAGGAAATTATTTCTATTATCACTTGTTTACTTTTTCTTCTAAGGCCTTTTTTTAAAAAGAATAACAATAATATTCGAAAGCATTCATTACAAATAAATTTCTGATCTAAAGTTAGAAGAAGTGATATAAATATCGATGTTTCTAGCTAGAAAAAGAATTTATTTTTGATTATCATTATTGATCATTTTAATATCAAATATCCTTTCAGTCATTCTTTTATTTTCTTGAAATATAAAGTTTTAATTTTAAAATACAAATTCAACAGCTGTGGTACCAATTATATATATCAAAAAAGAAGTACTTGCAAAAGCTACTTTAAAAAATGAAAAATTCGAATTCAACAGCTGTGGTACCAAATATATATATCAAAGATGAAACACTTGCAAAGCTACTTTAAAAAATGAGAAGCTCGAATTCAACAGCTGTGGTACCAAATATATATATATCAAAGGTGAAGTAGTTGCAAAAGCTACTTTAAAAAATGAAAAATTCTTTTTCTTATTAATGCAGAATTTTCCTTGCCAAATTAATTTTGCAAAAAAGAAAAAAAATATTTTCAGGCTGTTGATACTGAATCACAGTTGATACATATGCGAATTAGATCATCGAGCAAAAATATTAGTAAATGGTATAGAGGGATCAATCAAGCGGTATTTAGCGGAATGTTACGCGAAGGAGGTTAATGATTTTAATTTAAAAATTGGTGAACTGGTAATTGAATCATACAAAATAGCTTCTGTATACAGAATGGATAGAATCTTTTTGCAAATTATGATCAAATTAGGAATGTGTTTTGAATTCGCATCTTTTGTAGCATAGGAAATTCAATCATTTTAGGTATATATGAAATTTGCACGAAAGTAAAGTTAACAAATACACGATACGTACGTTTAATGCTGGTTATCTACGCTCATCATCGAGGAACAAAGAATAAAGCTGATAGACTTAAAGAAGAACACCATGAATTGACTGAAAGCATGAATGTAAGATAATAATTATTTAATGAAGAGAAAGTGAAAATTCTGTAATGATTCCGTATAAATATTGAAAATAAATTAGTTGGGATTTTTTGCTATTTCATAGCGTCATATTTTCATATGGTTGAAAGTTTGACAAAAATTTTTATATCTTACAATTTTTTAGATTTTTAATTTAAAATTGAAGGAATTATTTCAGCAATCGATTGACCATTTGAGAGAAGCAATAGCCTCTTCATCATTTGCACTGAAACAACTGAAATCAACACGTGATATACATTTGCAAATTAAAAATGCCAATAATATTGATATGTTTTCATTGACACAAACAATGATTATTCTGTGCACATCAGTTATGCAAGTTCTTGTTATTCGTAAATTCTTCTCTGGCAATTCCAAAAATTTTGTCGTTATTAAGTAGTAAAAAGGAAAATGTATTAGATTTATATGATTGACAATTTCTTAATGATGAAGGATATAAAGTATTGATTTTTCTCTTTGAATTATTAACGAATTAGTTTCATCATTTAAAATTCAAACAATAATTATTCTATGCACATCGATTATGAACAAGTTCTTGTTATTCGAAAATTTTTCTCCGGCACATCCAAAAATTTTGTCATTAATAAGTAGTAAAAAGGGAAATATATGTGATTTATATAATTGACAATTTCTTAATGATGAAGAATATAAAGTATTGATTTTTCTCTTTGAATAATTAACGAATTAATTTCATCATTTGAAATTCAATGATTATTCTATGCACATTAATTATGCAAGTTCTTGTTATTCGAAAATTCTTCTCAGGCACTTCCAAAAATTTTGTCATTAATAAGTAGTAAAAAGGGAAATATATGCAATTTATATAATTGACAATTTCTTAATGATGAAGAATATAAAGTATTGATTTTTCTCTTTGAATAATTAACGAATTAGCTTCATTATTTCAAATTTTTTAGCAATCTTTTCTAAGAAGCGCAATTGAATGATTTCTAAGAAAAAATTAAATATATTCCGTAAAAAGGAATATTTGAAAATATTTTTTTATTGGACCAAATTTTATCAATCAATTAATTTCTTCTTCATTAAATAAAATAATGTCATTTTTAATCATCGGCATTTATTGGTTTACCAAATATTTATACTAATTTTTAAAATTAATACGGTAGCAGATCATCTAATAAGCAGAGATTATTACTGTTATCGTTATCGTTATTATTATTATTGCTATTCTGATCATCATCGCCAATATGTTGATGGGGTGTGAGGTAATTTATCGTTGCTTTACAATATTTTTCAGAATTTTAAATTTTGTATAAATTAAATGTAGAAATTTTTTTTAATAAATAAAAA